TAATAGAATTGAGATGTAATAACTATTTCCTAAATTGTTTTAGGATAATATCTATTCTAAATAGGAATGGAATATAATCATTTTTAGGAATACAATAGATTCGTATTCCAAATTAGAATAGGGTTTAAGTGTCACTATATAAATGAACTTGAATTAGATTTTAGTGAGAATATCTTACACACAAAGCAGCATTTTCTAAATCATGCCATTCACTAAATCAAACTAGCATTTGATTGGTCTTGATCAAGTTTCGAACTCCTTCGTCTGGATATCATTTGTGCAACTTTTCTCTTGAAATGGATTGTGAAAGAATTTCAATTTGGTAGAGCCTCCAAATGTTGACATAATAATCTAATCCTTGTATGGATTTTTTACTAATTTAACATGTAAACAAAATAATTATTTACTCGGATTCATGGTAGAAGGAATTATTTAATTTCAAAATTTGTTTTTCTAGACAACAAAACCTATACGAAATACTATTTAGTTATTGAATTTCATTTTTTTACATGTGAGTTCGTCCGTCACGAATTCATCATAAGAGACCAAGGAAGTAAGAAAAATAGGGTGGCACTAACATCGACTTACAACATTATAAACATAATTAATCTTCCTATAAGTGTGAGTAACTATGAGAAGACATTACTTCCGACAACACAAGCGGAGATGGAGGTAGACAAGTAAATTATGTTCAAAATAGACCAAAATAATGAAATTTTTTACTCATCTTGTTGTAGATCCGTCACCTTAGAGGATAAAGGAGAATATAATAGTATATAAAAAAAATAACCATATCCAAATGAGATTTAACTTTGTTAATTCTATACTTTTAAGAGGTTTAACACTTTCTACTAGGTAACGTTACTCCCAATAGCGAAATCCCAATAACAAAACCTACATAAAGGAGGGTGTAACAGTATTCAAAAAGAGGTAATGTTACCGGAACACCTAATATGATTTATTTTTAAATTGGTATTAAATTGCCCAAAATTAAGGGAAGCCCATGGCCCATCTCCGATTTTTCACATTCAAAAATTTAATTCCACCAAGGTGGGTGGCTATCACTAGAAGTGTTCAAAAGCGGTTAACCGAACCAATTAAACGTTTTTCTAAATCGAATTAGATTTTTGGTTTCGAAAAATTTCTGAACCGAAACCATACCAATTTTAAGGAAAACCTATTTTTCGGTTAACCGGTTTTAAACCGGTTTTCCCTTTTTTTTTTTTATAAAACTTTTTTTTTTAATTTTGTCCTAAATTAAATTGTAAATATAGACAATACATTGGGAACTAAGAAAAAAAATTTGGATTGGGATTTTAGATTGAGTGAATTAGGGATTTATTTTAGTTTAGGTTATTATTTATTTATTTTATATATATATATTTGAAAAATCGGTTCAAAAAAATGGTTTTCGGTTAACCGTTTCTAATTTTTCTCGAATCGGTAACCGAACCGAAAATTCGGTTTTTTGAATTTTTTGAACCGTAATCGAACCGTTTTTTCGGTTAACCGGTTTTTCAATTCGGTTAGCGGTTCAATTTTTGCCTTTTTTTTAACACCCCTAATTACGACAAGTGGCATTTCTTAGGTACACGTGGCAAAACTCCACGTGGTAAGTGAATTATGAATTAAGATTTTTCTACTTTTTCATGAATAATAATGGTCCCCACTCGCCGTTTCTTGTAAAGGCAAGACAGCCCAGAGGAACATGACAGGTCATGCTCACACAGAAAATCCTCCACGTGTCACCTTTTCCTAACTTCAATTTAACTTTTTGCACCGCTGCCCCTCTCTTTACTTTTCAACAAAACCATCCAAGTTTTTTATATTTCTTATTTTTCACTCTTCTCATAAGAGATTTTATTTTTAATCCTATTATGAAAAAAAAAAAAAAAAAAGACACATCATTGAACCTATGTACACTCGTCCAATAAAAAAAGTTTTATTTAATTTTACCGGTTTTAGTTTCAAAATCTATTAATTTTTTTTTTTTAAATATTCTACTCTTAACTAATGAGAAAATACTGCATCACTTTACATTTACTCATATAATTTACATCTACACATAAGTCAGATGTGAATACATTTATTATACAGAAGATCCTTTTATGTCTTAGTTGTATTTATGTGTTTTTTTTATGAAATGATGTATGTTACATACAAGTTCGTTTATTTATTACTTATATTAGTTTTGATAAATATTTTTGAAGTGATTTATTTTGAATTTACACGTAACATTATAACATAAAATTTCTAATTTATATACTCACGAATTTATGATTAGTAATTTATATTGAGATTAATTTAAAAATTTTGAATGAAATTCATAAACAACCTTCCATCATAATCAAATGCTTAATAAGTTGTTAATTTAATATAATAAATAAATATTTTTTTAACTCCCAATTTTAATGCATTAAAAACCAAGAATTTATTTCCATAATTTAATTCAAAAACTTAAGTTACAATTGTTCATTTGGCAAGAATTTACCTTTTTTTTTTAACCTTGATCTTTTATTAATCACCAACCCTATTAGTAAATATTTGCAAAACAATGACAGCAAAAACTTACCCATATTTACCATATATTAAAATTATAAAAATATCAAAATCTCGACTCTCGAGGGATCTTATTAAGGCAAGTATTAAATTTAGGAAGGTGTAGGGAGTAATTAAGAAAATTATAAAACAACAAGGGGCCTATAAGAAAAAAACTAGGAGGCCCGAGAGACAACAACCATGGCTTGCTCTGTCAAGATTTAGAGCCCCACATTTTGACACGGCTTTTAAGCTGTAAAATTTATTAATTAATTAATTAAGTAAGTAACAACTCCTTAATTTGACAAATATATTTCAAATTAGAAAAATTACTTTTGATTATTCTTAGTCATGTTTAAACTAAAACAAAACAACTACTATACAGCCACTACAAAAATCATTTTAATAACTTCCAAAACATGGTTTAATTCCAAAAACACCCCTAATTTTCTGAAAGTATAAAAGCTCCCCGAACAAATCGATTCAATTATCAAAAATCCCTTAAAAATGTCGAACATCGTGGTAGTTGAAAAACTGAACAATCTTTTAGGGGTGTGATTGTAACTTTTTTAATGAACTCTATATAAAAGAAGAGCCAAAGATAGAACACAAAAAAGAGAGCGAGAGAGAGAGAAGAAAGAGAAGAGAAATAATTTTTGTCATTTGTTTGATTAATAATATTCATTCGTTCTCTTCTCCTTCCTCCTAAAAGCTTGCTTTTTTCTCTTCTTCTTTAACCAAAGTCTGAAACCTTGTGTTCTTTGATAGGCTTCTTCTTCTTCCTCAAGAACACCAACAGCCTCAACAATGACGCCCAAAGAAAGAGATCAGAAAGATAACAAAGAGAAGAAGATGTTTGTGGGGGTGATATGGAACTGTGCAGCTGAAATGAAGCTTTTATTAGGCATGCTTTTGGTTCTTTGTAGCATTGCCACTCTTCTCCAATTCATCCCTTCTCGTTTCACCATTTCTTCCTCCGATTTGCGCCTCTGCATCTCGAAAATCAACACCAACGCCAATCCAAACGCCACCTCTCATCTTCAACAACAGCCCCTATTGGCCGCTCCTTCTCCCTCTCCTCCTCTTCCTCCTCCTCCTCCTCCTCCCCCTTCACCTCCCCCGCCGTCTCCGTCTCCCCCTCCTCCTCCCGCCCTTGAGCTCGACCAAATCATCGACAACTCCACCATCAAGAGAGCCTTCAACACCTATGGCGCTGCAGCTTATAATTTCATCACTATGGGAAGCTACCGTGGAGGGCTCAACACATTCGCCATTGTTGGCCTTTCTTCAAAGCCGAATCATGTTTTTGGAAAGCCCTCTTATGAATGTGAGTGGGTTCCTTTAAACAACTCACAGCCGAGCATCAAGGCCTCCGGTTATAGAATTCTCCCTGACTGGGGCTATGGCAGAGTTTACACAGTTGTTGTTGTGAATTGTACCTTTAAACAACCCATTAATGGTGACAACAGTGGAGGAAGTTTGGTGGTTCATGCCTCAAGAGCTTTTGGTGCTGATACAAAACACAGTGTGGTGGATCAAATTCAGGCAATTCAAGAGCCACCAGGGAGTGTTGATTTTAGTATCTACACAACTTATGCTCCAAAGTATGATTTTTTCTATTGTGGGTCGCCTTTGTATGGGAATTTGAGTCCACAGAGAACGAGAGAGTGGATAGCTTATCACGTGAGGCTCTTTGGGGAGAAATCCCACTTTGTGATTTATGATGCAGGTGGGGTTCATCCTGAGGTTTTGGAGGTGTTGAAGCCATGGATGGAGTTGGGGTATGTGACATTGCAGGACGTAAAGGAGCAAGAGAGATTTGATGGGTATTATCACAATCAATTCTTGGTGGTGAATGACTGTTTACATAGATATAAATTCATGGCTAAATGGATGTTCTTCTTTGATGTTGATGAGTACATTTATGTGCCCTCAAAAAGTTCCATCAAGGCCGTGCTTGATTCCCTCACTGGTTATGACCAGCTCACCATTGAACAAAATCATATGAGCAGTCAGTTATGTATGCAAGCTGATGCTGGAAGAACAGAGAGGTAATTTTAAATCTTAATGTTCTTACATGAATTTTCATTTTTTTTTTTTTTTTTTTTTGGGTGAATTTGTTTGATGCAAAACTATAGAGCTACCCTGTGTTTTTTGAGTAATTTTTTTAATTTTTTAATTTGGCATTGAATTGATCAAAGTAAAAAGGTAAAAATAGTAAAAGGTAAGAGAGGGTTCTGTGGTAGATATTCTTGAAACTGTCAAGGTGAATGATGAAGCATCAATGATGAATTTTCTATGAGTTCTGTGTAGGGTAGTCCTTTTAATGGCAATGAGCTGTCTGTTAGCCATTGAACTTTCTGTGCAAATTTCAACATCATATGGCATCTCTAGATTTATTTAATGTATCATGTGAATATTGTAATTTTGTGGTGGTTGAGTAAAATAGAACATATTAGAACTGATGTTGAACTTATATATACTCTATATATAAGATCTAGTGGTGCGTATGTGTTTGGAGTTATTCTTTGCGATCGGTATTTGATTCTTCCTTCGGGTCATTGCATTCAGACAAGTGGACGGGGGTGTGGGTCTGAACTTTGTTCTAAAGCGATTGTTTCTTATCTTTGATTAGGACTTGTTCATTTGTTATGTTTCTTAAAGGAAAATCCTTGAATGATTGATGTTCTCTTCTTGCATAAGATACCGTTAGAATCACATCGGTCTAAAGACATTAATGGTGTTAACGAAAAATCAGTATGTGTGATGAATGGAAGAAGAAAAATCGAAATCAAATTTGGTAGTCGTGGAGCTCCATTTTGTGTTGATCCTGATGTTAGATTAAGACTGATACTGACATGTATAATCCAGAAACAGAAAGAGATATTGTGACATAATGCTAGATTTTGATTTCAGATATATCAATTCCATATGCTCGATTTGGTTTATTTTTTACCATACATAAGTTGTTAGTAATCAGTAGATATGCACATATATGGATGTTTGTCGTTGACATTCTTGTTTATCTTCAGGAAATGGGGGTTTGAGAAGCTTGTATTCAGGGATGTGAAGAGAGGAATAAGGAGGGATCGGAAATACGCCATACAGCCTCGAAATGTATACGCCACCGGAGTTCACATGTCGCAGAACCTCCATGGAAGGACAAACCACAAGACCGATGGCAAGCTCAAATACTACCATTACCATGGCACAATTGCAAACAGGAAAGAACCCTGCACAACTCTTGTCAATGGGACAAAATACAACTTTGAAAACACACCTTACGTTTTGGATACCACATTGAGAACCGCAGCCTGGGCTGTGAAGAAATTTGAGCTCAAAATGATTGGCCTTAGGCTACAAAATACTCATCAATGATTTTGTATTTAACAACTTCCCCCTTCTTTTTTTTCTTGTTCAGATAAATTAAAATTCATTGGGAGTGTATCTTCTTTTGTATAATAGTTTTTTTTCTTTTAAAAAACAGAAGGTATAGAGATACATATTAAGAGAGACACATTAGAGTTTACATCATTCTTTTGACTTATATTCGTTCATTTTCGGAAACTACTACAATACTAGTTCGGTAATGTTATTAGATCAGTACATTACATAACCTTAGTTTATGAACGTATATTATAATTTATATTAATGCAAAGGTGGCCATTGTTATTGATCTGATAACGTTATCGAATGTATAAGCGAGCAGATTCCTTTATACTTTTTTTCATTATAATACATTTTGGCTCTTCTTCCTTTTTTAACCCCTTTCTCCTCCACCAGTAGGAGGTGGACAATGTGCTTGGTGGGTTAGATTTGCTTTATTGCTACCTCACTTTTATTGTTTTCTTTTGATTTGTATAACCTATGGGGACCTGTTTGGATGATGAGAAAGTGAAATGTTATATTATTTTGAGGAAAGCCACAACTGTATTCTTTTTATCTCTTTTGACAAAGTCAAAAAGGGCATGTGCCCAAGGGTCCCATAAAATATCTTATCAAGTAACTAACACGTATGAAAAAGTTGGAAAAGAATGAAAAATAAGAAAAGCAAGTGAAATTCATGCAACTCTAGATGATTCTTTTGGGGTATATTCAAATACCATTGTTTTGTAAAATCAAAACATTTTACCAATTTCGTTTCCGTTTTGTTGGGCCGACAGTAATGCACTCATTCATGCAAGCAGCCGGTCTCACTAATGACCATTTAATCTCTTGTCCAAGACACCTTCAATGCATAGCTTTGGAGTACTCTCATCAGCCAACTGCAGCCCCAGCTCTCCAGCCTCTAATTACAAGTTTTAGTGACGAGTTCAAAAAACTTATTTGGCAGCTTAATTACAATATAACCAAGCTAAACTTGTTAGAATATTCTCTAACTATATTATAATATATAGATATTGTTATATAGATAATGGAATTGTGAGTGTGTAATTAATAACGTCTTTCATTGAGTAATTTATTTCAATAATTCTTTGTGATGTGTTGAGATGAGATCATTTGCAATTGTTTGTATCCAATCAAATAGATATAGTCTACTTGAATTTATACCATTTAGATAGATGACTCTTGACTCATTTGAAAATTAATTTGAATTAATTCCAAGCCAGTCGGGAGGGATGCACTATAAGTCCTACTGTTTGAAGTTAGTAAAAGATAATTTGAATCCTAGTAAATGAGATGAATTGACAATATATAATGATCGTACTCTCTATATCATTTTCGGTGAAGTGGGTAAGAGATATTTACTTATTTCTAGATTTTCTTCATTCGATAGCAATGTGAATGTGACAGCAATGGGTTATAACAAAAGAGAGTGTAGTGTGTGTAAGGTAGGCAAGGGAGACAGAGAGCATGTGAAGTGGCAATGGCATGTGTATGGTGCAAAGCTTTCAATTTTTGGTGATCCCCACATACAACTCTCAATTATTGCTTCCTTTAAAGTGGCTGTGAAGGATGACAGTAGGTGATGCAAGTTTGATGGGCCAACCCTCCCATTTTGTTTCAGCATTTGTATTTAGATTTATAATTTCTGCTCTAAATCTAGCATCTTGCTTCTTTCCACACCATTGTTTCAGAATTATTTCATTCTCTGTATCATACTACTGTATATAGAAACAGACAACCGAACAAAGAGATTGTGTCACATCCCATATAATTAGGAGAGATGCCTGAAATTCAGTTTACAAGGCTTAGACGACCTTCCTCAGTAAGTAGATGTATTTTTAGCAAACCTCTACGGTTAGTTGGATTCATATATCACATAATCACTTTTCCCAGTATTCAATTTTTAAGGGAACAAAATTTGGATATCAAAATCCAATCCTATGAAATTGGAATATGCGATATACTTTCTTCTCCATGTGTACTCCACCTTCTTTACTACATTCCCTTAAATTTTTTGCTTTCTTTCTTACGTTTTGTGAAGCTTTAACTCCTGTAAAGTGGACAAGGAAGAGAATCCCAAGCTGTTGGCAGCTTGGCGGGATGGCATAGTGGACCTTCCCCATTATGCCATTTTTTATAAGCTTTGAGCTTTATTCCTTGCGCAGCTAGCTCTTTCTTATAAGATAGCTTTTTGCAGCCGTAATTCTCAATGAAATTTGTTATGCCTGGGAACTTAGGGCTGATGTGGCATCCAATTAAGTGTGCAAGGTCAGGCCTCGGGAAGAGCCTACTGACGCAGCTGCTTCGTGTGTCATGTGGCACCCACAGCTTGCTTCCATCAGAGTATGGATGCACGTCAGGCCAACGAGGAGTTGTGATGACCCCGCGTGTCCAACCCCTGCAGCAAATCACGTGAATTCCTAAATGAAGGATTTGCACGGATCATCCCACCAACTTGCAGATTCAATGGCGATTACTTAAGGCATCCCACTATAAAATGGGAGCTCCTCTCTCATTAAAGGGATTTAGGCATTTTAATCTTACAAAAAGAAAAGCTCTTTTCTCTCTCTCTAGAAAAGACAGCCTTCAATACCTTGTATTATCAGTGTAAATCAGTCGTCTAAAGTGACCTGACCCTTATCATTAACAAAAATATCAGCGGACGTAGGATTTGCTTCCTTAGCATCCGAACCACTTAAAACTCCTTTCTCACTGCATTTACTTTCATCTTTCCAAACCATTTACGTGTGTCTTTTGGGGGCCAACTCGACATTTCACACGTGTGTTTCGTTGGTGTCAAAATCAGCATCAACAAAATTTTTGAAGATTATGACCCAGAAAGCTCAATTCAATCTATACAACCCCAGAAACAAAAATGGACCAACCATTACAATAAATGGCGATGTTTAGTCATTTTATCCTATAAACATCTTCATTTTTTTTATCCGAACTTACATATTCAGACAGATTCAGCAACTAATGTTAAGGGGACAAGTAATTTAATGTAATTCGAGGATAGGGTGGTTTGTTTCAAATTTTTTCGCTACCTACCTAAAATACACATTTGTTTTCCTATTCTAAAAATACTACTCTATTTATTATTCAATTATTTTTAAACCCCTAGGTTTGTTAATCTAACTAAACACCTCCAAAAAGAGTTTAGAAATTAACAAAAATACCCCCACCCATCTACATTTGTCAGATTTCGGCCATCACCACCAAGGTGGCTAGAATCTAGTATAATAGCACAGTACCGACTGGATCATGCCGGTAGTACTCCAATCTAGCATTTTTCGATCAATCTACCGTGGATCTGGCTGAAAAATGCCAGATCTACACCAAAAATCTGGCCGTCAACGACTGCCAAGATATGGTGATCTTTGACCATCAACAATGGTAATATCTTGACTATCATTGACCACAAAGTGGTCAGATCCATGGTGGATCTGGTTGAAAAATGTCATATCGGCTCGCGACTGGCCGATCCACCAGTCGTGCGCCGATATGGCTACTCTAGCCACCCTCCGGGGGGGGTGGTGTCGGCTACCGGTATTCAATAGGTTGGTAAGGGTGTTTTTGTTAATTTTTAATGTTTTATTACAAGGTATTTAGTAAATTACAAACCTAGAGGGTGTTTTGTTAATTTTTAAATCCTACCTCGTAATAACCATCTAACTTTACTTTTTTTCAAAATACTATCCTAAAAAGTATCAAAATAATGAACCAAACGCACCTTAAGTAAATGGCTGTGTAATTAATTTATATACATATAAAATAAAGTGAGTAAGATCAAGTCCAAACATTAACATGTACAACATGGTCAAAGCAGAAAGCTAAGAAAAATTAAGTATTTTTTGCGGGGTCACCGGCCCCCATTCCCCCTGCTTACATTCTCAAGGCAGGAAATGCTCCACGGCACACAATTTGTCAGGCCTTGTTTTGAGGAGGTGCAAGCACTGGGCCCAAAATTTTGGCTCATGGACTACATCTTTTTAGGCTTGTAATTACATCTGGGCATCATTATGGGTTGGCTTAAGCAAAGCATTGGACCCAAAGTGTTGGTCTTGTTAATGAAGTTCAGGCACAATTATGGCTTGGGCCCAAAAGTGTTGGCCTAAACCTTTTCTGACACTCAATATCGTATTCTTCAAACGTGTTCTAGGAGTCGTTCATAGGAGCATAAGACCTTATGGCATCCTGATAGCCCTTCTCCTAAGATGAGGTTAAGGTGATTTGGATGAGTCATTCACATTACAAAAATGATCTTATTTCATCCATCTATAACCCATCTCAACATCTTCCAATATGATATTTTTTATGTTTTCGACGTTCAAAATCACTTCTAATCTTATATTTAAAATAAGTAGAGATAAATTTGAATCTCATCGATTGATATGACTAAGACTAAGTAATGATTATAACTCTTAAAACCTCATTAAAGAAAATGGATAAAGATACAAGAAGTTTCCGGTGATTTGAATGAGTTATTTACAGATACAAGACCACCTATTACAACTTTATATTTTTATTCATTTTCATCCTTTGGTCAAACGAATTATACCTAGCATTATTAGATAAATAAATAAAACAATAATTTAGAACAAGACATGATTGTATCTAGATTAATTCTGTCGGTGACCCCATGTGGAATTGACTAATTCTGAATAAGAATAATATTCCAGCAGCCAAGCAGGTTTGAATTCAGACACCGCAACTTCCTAAAGCAGGATGAAATGTATTTAATAATCTTGTGAACTGATCGTGACCATTGGCTTAAGATTTATCTGCCCATGTGATGCAACACTTTCTGGTGTCTAAAAGTACAACTACTCCTAGTCATTCTTCTTGATTGCTGCTAATCACATTGTGATCCCATACTTTTCATTAATTGCATTCTCCACCCAGAGAGACCATAGTCAACTAAGAAATTTAAAGTGGAATGAACATATCACATCATCCAAACGTCTATATAAACTTTCGATACATATCCTTCATTATAGAACGTGCCGATGAAGAGCAATATGAACAGCACAATTGTGCAGGTAGCTTGTGTTTAATTTCTTATACTGAACATATCATATTCCATCGGATTAAATTATTCCCACTAAACCATATTAAATCATGTTGACTAACAGGGGTCCAATTTTGCTCGCATAGCTGACCCAAGTCACATGAAACTTACTTTCATTTTATTAATATTTTTTAATTAATCATTATGAATATTATTGTAGTAACGTGTAGATGATATGATACATTTTTTCGACCTAAATTTTTTATATGCAACGTTACTGGTAGATCTCTAAAACTAGATCCCTACATCTATAAATAAATCAAGGTTTTCTCCACTACTATGTATGAAATTAATTATTCTT